AGGAGGAGGAAAGCGAGTTGAACCATAACAGGGAGCTACAAGTCGTCGTAGCTGGGTTCACGGAAGAAACAGAAGAGGACGATACTGCACAGGTGATTGAAGGTTTCTTGGGTGATGGGCCCCGCCTGCACAACGAAGGCCAGGTGATCACTTTCAGCCTCCCGGCCGCGTGGGCATGATCGAGTTCAACACAGTGACTTCCCAGGCCAGATTCTACAGAAAAAATCATAACGTAAATGGGGAAGTTCCTGAAGATCTTACTTTGTGTTTCACGAGCAACCGCACGTGCAAGCAACGAGTGCGGGATTCAAGTTTAAGACTCAGCAAGTACCTGGGTCACTGAGAAAAGTGGCGCCGACCCGGAAGACGTAAGGATTGAATGTAAGAAGACGGGGTCGTCCAGATTATTTCTACGGCGGTGGTTTGGGCCAATGATAACGCGGAGGTGGTGTTGAAGGGTACTGCGGAAGATGTGAAGAGGGATATGGAGGAGGGCTTAGAGAGTTGGAACAAGAAGCACAGGAACAACGAGTAGAGCAAACTCTGGGGGGCAACCCTGGCCCGTGCCAGTACAGGGAAAACCAAGAAATGGCATCTACAAGTGATTTCCCACAGTTTCAGGCACAGGGGCTTCCGGGAGGCAGCGCTGAAGGGGGGAGGGGGAAGTATTCCGGCATTTCAAGATGTACTGTTCGTGACCCCGACCGCCGAAGGCCAGGGCATATCCGATTTCATCGTCGTAGGTTACAATACACATTCGCTTATGAGTTCTGGGGGGGATTGTTGCGATGCTGCCGGGGATTGGTAGTCGGAGGTGGTATTCATTATTATTCACACAAGCCCGGACGGAAGCAGCGCGATATATTTTCACGAGCGAGGGCGGCCACACTTGGTTCGGCAATGGCGGCGCGAAAGGCCGGACGGAGTGGGCATTCTTCTGTATAGACCGTGGTCGCATCATGTTTTTTATGCTGTAAGCGATCGTGTCGCGGCTCTCGATATTACGGTGCATCGTGTTCGATGTCGCATTTTCGTCGTATACGTGCCACATGGCGCCATGGAGGAAGAATACGTGGACACCACGTATGCCACAGTGGGCAATTCCGCGTATCGAGCCACTGTTCAATAGGGCCTCGCGTTGGTCGCTGCTGTTTTTAATGCTGAAGTGGGCGCCAGGGTCACGGAGGAGGATCACGACATTATGGGCGTGAACAACATACGGAGCCGCAACGAGACGGGAGATCTGCTATTTCAATGGCGCGTTGATGACATATTTGCTTTGGCCAGCGCTTTTGGTTGGGGGGGGCGGCGAAGGGCAATATGGCTGCATTCTAACACAAGGCGTTCTGAAGCAATTCTGGTTTTCATGTGAGGTCCCAAACGATTTAGCAAATATGTTCGTCAATGATGCGTGGCTGAGTGCTTTTACGCAGGTTCGGTTCACAGGGCGCTCATATTACGCATCGCTGCTCAGCCCGTGATTCCCCAGGAAGGGAACGCGTACCCGTCAAAGTGGGATAGAAGGATCGACGTCGAAGATTGCCTTCAATAGTCGATGTCATTGCCGGCGGCGTATGCAGCGTCGCACCACAAACCGCGAACCAAAAGGCAGCCTTTCTGAAGACGTCGCTATTCGATGCTCTAAGGCAGGCACTTCCGGAGAAGAAAGGCCCAAGAAAGAGACGCGTTGCAGTTTATTCAAATATGGATTCGCTGATTCGGAAACGATGGAGGTCCCAGGGGCGGCCAGAACTGGACGCCCAAGACAGACAACAACATTGAGCGAATGCTGAAAAATATTCGGCGGGGGCCCCCGGCTACCGCAGATTGGGCGCCCGCAGAACAACGGGCGCATTGCCGGCGTCGCGGGCGACGACGGAGTGGCGCTTGTTGCGAAAGCCGGCAAATCAGAAGTGTTCGCGCACAAGCAGTTAAATGCCGCAAGACGCACAGGATCAAATGGCAGCTTGTGTCAGAATTCCCACGTCCAGGATTTTAACAGTCACGAATTTGAGCGCGCTCTGTCCGGCATGAAATCCGGCGAGCGCGCAGATGAATCTGGAATGGGCTGCGGAGATGTTGAAGTGCGGCGGTCAGCGCTTCCGCGGTCAATCGCTCGAGTTGTTCAATGACGTACTGATGCCTGGGGCAGAGCCGCCGGATAGTTGGAGAAAGACCAGCCCGGTTTTTTTTTCTCAAGAAGAGCGAAAAGAACCTTGTTAAGACTTACACCGGCCAATCGCCAGATTACATATCATGCGCGAGCTCTTCGCCCAGATGCTTCACAATCGATTGCAACTTCAGCAACCATATCTGAGCAATCCGCGGACCAAGCAGCTGACCGGAAGAGGTATTCTACCAGCGGCCATGTCTTCCCGATTATTTTGTAGGTACGAGGATGTTCTGAATTGAATGTTTGCCTGTGTTCTGGCCTAGTCGATATCGAGAACGCCTTTGATGCGATCGAGCGCCCAGCCCTGTGAGGTGCCTTGTGCAGATATGGCGCGAATGAAGCGCATGTGTATGTTTTGCCAAAGTTGCGCCGCGACCAGACCGCTGTCGTCGCAACTGGGGGGGTGTCCAGGCGTTTTGCGATGTAGCGGGGTGTCCAGCAGGGAGACCCTTATCAGGGCCGTGCTCGCGGCATGGTGATCGACGCGCCCCGCGGCCCGCTTTCGAATGCGCGCGCTTCGCGGATTGCGTTGCGTTTGCAGCCCTGTGCAAGGTCGACGTCGCACAATGAAATCGGACTTGAAATCAGAAGCAACGAAGAACGGATTGAAAGTCCATCTTGGCAAGGTTAAGTTGTTCACCGACAGCTCTCGGCAATTACCTGGCCACGTGCTCGCGGCGGGCGCTGACGTCGAGACGGCCCCCGTTGAAGGCGCGGAGCGCTGCTTGGGAAGGCAGCTTCGCATGGGCAGCTTCCATGGAACTGAATTATCGAGCAGGTTGAACGCTGTATGGAGATGCGTCTTAGAGTCCAAGGACATGTTGCAATCCTGGTCATATCCTCTGCGATTCAGACTGTTTTTTTGCACGTGGTTGTGGACCCAATTGCTTTGTACGTTTGCGAATATTGGCCGAAGGTCTTGAGCTCCTAGCATTTGGCTCCGAACTGCGCGGGGAAAATGAGGATGACGATATATCGCATCCAACGCAGGAGCTCCGCAACATGGGCCGATTACATCAAGGAAGCCACGAAGCAAGTCGACATCAACGCTTCCGACTGGGCGTGCGCGAGCTGGGACATCATGCAGGCTTCCCGCAAGGCCAAGTTCGCAGATAAGTCTCCAAGCAGTGATCCAGCGAAGTGGAGTCGCAGGCTGCTCCAGTGGAATCCTTGGCACCGATGCTGGCCCAAACGGCGCATTGGTAGGCCGCATTTCCGTTGGAGGGATTCTGTTGCAAAGCACGTGGGGTAGAATTGAAATCGCGGGACAGATGCGCAGTGTTTTGTTGTAGTGCACGCAGCATTGTGTATTCTGTTTTTCTACATAGCATGTAGCCTGTAGCTTTGAGCGCCGCCTGCCATTTAAGGGGGCCGCTCTCGTGGAGCTGGCACACAGGCCTAAACTGAACATCGATCTGAACCCTGGCGAGGGCCGCATATCGAAAACGAGCCGCGCACCACCCGTCTACAGAACTGTTTCGCACGCTCTCAATTGTGGTAATTTGTTGGGAGAGATTCCTGAGCGATAGCTACATTTTGAAAACGAAGAGGCCTCCATCTGCGTAGTGCCTGGTAGCTTTAAGTGTAGTATGGTACTATTCAAGCGGAGCGCCCTCCACCCATGTATTTGTCACCGTTTTTGATACCCATGTATTATTCTGATAGCGTCTGACGAAAAAAGAACACACCCAATATTGACAACGAATCAGCCTGCAGGCTTTTAGGGCGAATCCGTGCGCGGCGCCATGGGCAATCTTCCAATCTGCAAAGGACCAGGCCTCCTATCCGAGTGGCAGTTGCAAGCTTTTAAGAAGGACGTGCGCGGCGCGAGTGCGACAGACTTTTTATGAGTTCTGGAGAGGACTTGACCTCCATCCTTGCCGTTTCTTTCCCAGCTTCGGCGAGTCGGGTTGTGGGGAAGTTTGGAGCGAAGCGCCCGGGCCAGCCTGTGGACACATCTGGCGGCGCGGAAGGGAGGATCTATGTAGATGTATATTTGTACATATATATATATATATATATATATATATATATATTACATGTCTGTATTATATATATATATATATATATACAGTATGAGACAGGCGCGGGGAGGACGGAGGAACGGATGGAGGGGGGATTTTGATGCCACTCCTGGTAGGTTGAATTCAGCATCGGCGCTGGTTTATCCGTGTTCGAAAACTGGCCAGCTCCAGCTGGATCTTGCTGGGCCCTACGTCATTCCGGCTAGTCTGGCCCAGACTTGGGCCTAGTCTGGGCTGATCAAACTGATGGCCTCGCAATCAGGCCAAGCAGGCTTTAATCGTGTTGACGGAGGCCCCCAGGAAGTTGGCCGGCGCGGGCTCCAACTAGTAACCAATTGCACCGGGGATGTGCAAGTTATGTGGGACGAGCTCTGTGGTGTAACCCGTGTGCTGCAGCACACGTGGTGCAGTCGACGAGGCGGCCACGGGTGGCAACGTGGCGACACTTCGCCAGACCCGCCGAGCGTACGAGGCAGCAACGAGCTGGCAACGGGCTACAACGTGGCGAATGCTCGGTGGATCCACCCAGTGCGCGAGGCGGCAGCGAGGCGGCAACAGGCGGCAACGTGGCAAAACCTCACCAGACCCACCCAGCGCACGAGGCGGCAACAAGTCGGCAACGGTCGGCAATGTGGCGAAACCTCCAGAGACCCATGCCATTCCTTAGAGGGGTAAGGGACATCCGAAGTGCAAGCGCTGATTTGAGAAAAGAGGCTTCATGAGGGAGCAGGACGAGGTGGCGGAGGTCGGATGATGGCGGAGAACATGGGAAAGTGGGGGGCGGCGAGGGATGAGGAGGGCAGGTTGTGGCACGGGTCGCTTGGCGAGCTCCTCCTGCGATCAGCGCCCCCGCCACAGGCGGGGCATGGCATCCACTCTCCTCCACGTCCTCCTCCTCCTCTTCCGCGCTCTCATCCTCGCCTTCTCATTCTCATCTCCTCCCACCCCTCCTCCGCCTCCTCCCTCCCCCTCTCCCTCCTCCCTCCTCCCTCCTCCCTCCCCATCTCCTCCCACCCCTCCTCCCTCCCCCTCTCCCTCCTCTCCTCCTCCCTCCTCGTCCTCCTCCTGCTCCTCCCCGGCACGGCGCTGGCCTGTCCTCCTGCCCCTCTGCTCCTCTTTCTTTCCCCCCTGCTCGATTCTCCTCTCCTCCCCCCTCCTCCCCATCCCCTCCCCTGCTCCTCCTTCTTTCCTTCCCCCCTGCTCGATTCTCCTCTCCTCCCCCCTCCTCCCCATCCCCTCCCCCTCCACCGGCGGGGAACGGCAGAAGGAGTGCAGCACTGGCGGCTCTGACTTCCACTCGTGCGCAGCACGGTGGATGCCGGCAGCACCACACCGCGCAGCACCTCAGATCCTCACAGTAGGGGGCGCAGCAGCACGATGGTTCGCAGCATCGGAGGCTCTGACATCCACCCGCGCGCAGCACGATGGATATTTTGTAGCACGATCTACGCATCGCGACAGATTCAAGCAGCACGATTTGCCAAAGCACGAAGGAGAGCATCTCCAGCGATCCCGACATCGATTCGCGCGCGCGGCACGACCGATACTGGCACAGCCGGACCGCGGTATGAGGTCGAAGTCGGCTCGCGGAAGTTGCGCCGCACGGCGGGCCCCAGCAGTACGACGCGCAGGCTGGCAAAAGCAGTGCACCTCGACGGGCGGCGGCACCATCCGACGCGGAGCAGCACGACGAGCTCCATCGCTCAGATTTTGCGCGGCACGACGCCATGCAGCTCAGCGGCTTTGACATCAACTCTTTTGGGTAGCAAATCATGGGAGCCTGGTGTACCCTCGCAATTCTGTCTTTCAAGTTATATCTGCGTCGACTAGCGTCTGGTAGTCGATGAGGTAGTGCCGATTTAGAGTCGATTCACGTCGGTGAGCGTCGATTAGCGTAGATTTGGCGTCGATTAGCGTCGATGCGCATGGACTCGCCAGAGCCAACACCATGGTATGGGAGGCTCCCATGAGTTGCCGCAGACCACTCTGTCGACACAGCGCTCTGAGCATCACCACTGTTCGCACTACAATGGCTACGGTCGCGCCGTTCTGCCGCAGCCGCGCCGGCATGGCACGGCGCTGGTATACGACTCGGCGCTGGTGCGCCACGGCGCGATCACGATAGGACAGGGCCGTTCCGACGCGGTCGCGCCTTTACGACACGGCGCCGGTACGGCTCGGCGCCAGTACGACATGGCGCGGTCACGACACGGCTGGGCCGTTACGACACGGCTGCGCCGTTCCGACACGGCGCCAGTATGTCTCGGCGGCGTCACGACATGGCACGGTCATGACACGGCTGGGCCGTTACGACACGGCTGCGCCGTTGCTGCACGGTCACGCAATAAAGCGACGCAGCAACATCCAGGGAGCACAACCACGCAAGTATATCTAAAACCAATGACACTTCAAAGCGACGACCACCGTATAGTTACAAGGACACCACGCATCATCAGCAGTCCCACGCTACATATTCGGCCAAAGCCAACGACGTCATGCAGAGCAAACTCGAACTGACAACATGATGCACACACGGGCTGCTGCATCGCGACGGGCAAGAGTAGCTAGACTCTGAGCAGCACGACGGCGACAGAGCTGCACGACGGGTATCATTCGCAGGAGTTGGGCCAGCACTACGATATCCAGCATGTGATGGGTTTGTCGAGGGCGAAAACACAGGCAGGTGTACTTGTATGTGGGCATTTGCTGCTGTGCCGGCGCGACCGTTTCACCTAAGTGTTGTTTTTCACTCCTCATGTCTGATGGTACGCGCCAACATCAGCGCACTTGATTCTGACCTGAGCCGTTACGATATCATCATTGCACGCCGCACCAAGCACATTACGACCACAACCGACATAACCAGCACCACCGCGACTCGCATCACCTCGACCTCCGACCATCTCTACATTCCCCCCCCTCCCGGTTCGCGGAGCGACGAGGAGTCTCAGAGCGATTGCGTTGACCCTCTCCACTTTGAATTTACCATCTCCGAGGCTTGCTCCGACTCCAGCTCGGAACCCCATTCCGACTGCCGCGTCATGGCTGCTTCCGACGCAAGCCCCGTGTCTTGCTCCCCCCCCCGGTCCGACTCCCGCTCCGTTTCCCGCTCCTCCTGACTTGCCCGATCCTGCGGCGGTTCCAGTGCCGCTCCGCTTGCCACCACAGATCAGGAGGGAAAAAGCACAGGCACGAGCAAGCTGGGAAGTGGAGGGGAAGACGGAGACCTAGGAAATGTAGGAAATATGATGGTGAATCCTGGGGCTTGTGTTCCTTGGTGTGTCCCTGAGCCCCCTTCAACACTGACTTCCTCGCCGCCGGCTCCAGCGACGGCTTTAGCCACGCTTCTGGTCTCCGCTCCAGTTGCCTTGTGCCTTGTGGACGACGACCAATGGAGAGGAGGCATGCTACCAAATAGTTTCCAGATGTCTAAAAGATGTTTCAAACATGTTTTGAATATGTAAAACAACGTGTTTAAAACCTTTCCAGGACATTTTTCCGACATTTTGCGCACATTCAAAAATTCAATGATAGGACTGTCAGGGTGCCCAGTGTCGGGGCATCCACAGCATTGACGTCCTCGTCGCCAGCTCCGGCGATGGCTTCAGCCACGCTTCCGGTCTCCGCCCCAGCTGCCCGCACGAGGCGGGCGCTCGGGCCACCCCGACGCCCGCTCGAGCCTCTGGCTCCGACGCTGGCGCCGCGCCCGGGCAGGAGCGGACAACGGGCGCACACGCCCATGCGACGCCCAGGGGGTGGCTATGGGCCACGGATGCGCGTCGTCGGCTGGGCGTCCCCGCTTGCAAGAGGAACCCCTCCGCGGGGTCCGACAGCTCCGACGCCGGCGCCGACCCCGGGCACGAGCGGACAACTGGCGCCCACGCCCACGCGACGCCCAGGGGGATGGCCCATGCGACGCCCAGGGCTGGACCTAAACGGTGTTGTTGGCGATTGCGTGGGCCGCTTTCGTTTCGACTTCGTTTTGCGGCGAGGGAAGACGAAGACATAACAAAAACGACAATCACCGTTTAGGTTCAGCCCTGGGCCATGGGTGAGTGTCGTCGGATGGGCGTCCCCGCTCGCAAGAGGAGCCACCCTCGGGGTCCGACGACTCGCACTCTCATACCTATAAGCGCCTTCTTCGCGGTGCCCTTTCCCACTCCTCCTCCTCCTCCTCCCGAGGTGTGGGAGTGTGTGTGTGTGTTGTTCTTCCGTCGTCGAGCTCCGGCGCGAGCTCGCGCCTCAACTCCTCAGGCCGCGCGTGGCTCGTGCGGCCGCTGCACTCTGGCGGGCTGGGTCGGGCGCTCGGCGCCGCAGCGCGCCTGGCAGACTAGCACGACTGCTTGCCGTCCAGCCTGCAGCATCTCTCTGCGCTGTTTCCCACCCCCTGGTCTCTCCTCCGCTTCCCCTCCCTCCTCCCCCTCTCCTGTGGGACCTTCGCGCGAGTGCCGAAAGCCACGCCCCAGCCGGCGTACTCGTTCGCGTGCTGTGCTTCTGTGTCTCGTCCTTCTGCTCCGCCCTTCCGCCCCTCCTCCCCCCTGCCTCCTCTGGTCGTTGGTGTTCTTTCTGTTTCTGGCCTCTGCCAGAGTTTTATGGAGGTGATGCCCGTGACAACCGCTTTTGACAACCCCGCTGCCCACTCTCCCGCCTCCTCTTCCTCCTGCGCCTCCTCCTCCTCGTACTTTTGAGGACTTCGCGGCGGAATTCCAGCCGCGACCGCAGGACAACATTTTCTGCGTGTGTGTGTGTGGCAGCATTTGCATTGCTTTGCCATGGCTGCGCAGCGCAGTGGTGGTGTGCCGTGTGCGGGAAGAACGAACAATCCTGTTCCCCCCGCCTCACGTCGATTATCCTTCTTCTTTTCCCCCTCATTCGTGGTCCTCTGTCATCGCGCTCCTGGTCCCCATCCTCCTTTGTTTTTCCCAACCATCCTGTGGTGTTGGGTCCTCGTTTTGAATAGACAGCGCCCCGCGTCTCCTTCCTTCCTTCCTTCCTTCCTTCCTTCCTTCCTTCCTTCCTTCCTTCCTCCTCCCCCTCCTCCCTTCTCCCTCCTCCCTCCTCCCTCCTCCCCCTCCCCCTCCTTGCCGCTCCCGGCACACTTCTCACACGTTTCGTAGCCCCATAGGGAGCTCCACCGAAGGTCCCAGTGGCACAGCCCACATGCGGTTCCCTCACCCAGGGCAGCGCTTCGTGGCCCCATGGGGAGCTCCACCGAAGGCCCCAGCGGGGGGGGGGATGGCGCATGCGGTTCCCCCACCCAGGACAGCGTTTCGTGGCCCCATAGGGAGCTCCACCGAAAGCCCCAATGGCTGCTCTCGCATGCGGTTCCCCCACCCAGGGCAGCTTTTCGTGGCCCCATAGGGAGCTCCACCGAAGGCCCCAGTGGCTGCTCTCGCATGCGGTTCCCCCACCCAGGGCAGCGTTTCGTGGCCCCATAGGGAGCTCCACCGAAGGCCCCAGTGGGGGTGCCCGCATGCTCTCCCCGACCCAGGGCAGCGTTTCGTGGCCCCATAGGGAGCTCCACCGTAGGCCCCAGCGGCTGCTCTCGCATGCGGTTCCCGCACCCAGGGCAGCGTTTCGTGGCCCCATAGGGAGCTCCACCGTAGGCCCCAGTAGGGGTGCCCGCATGCGGTTCCCGCACCCAGGGCAGCGCTTCGTGGCCCCATAGGGAGCTGCACCGCGGGATGCCCGCATGCTCTCCCCCACCCAGGGCAGCGCTTCGTGGCCTCATGGGGAGCTCCACCGAAGGCCCCAGTGGGGGTGCCCGCATGCGGTTCCCGCACCCAGGGCAGCGTTTCGTGGCCCCATAGGGAGCCCCACCGAAGGCCCCACTGGGGCTGTTCGCATGCGGTTCCCCCACCCAGGGCAGCGTTTCGTAGCCCCATGGGGAGCTCCGCCGAAGGCC